CTTCCCCTTTGACAAAAGTGTCTTCATCCCTTTCTCACTCATATGGCCAAGCCTTTGGTGCCATAGGTTTGATTTTCCATCAGCATCTTCTACTGCAATGATATTCTCTAAATTTGATGTTATATAGAGAGTACCAGTTTTTTTACCACGAGCAATGACGAGTGCTCCTTTGGTAATCTTCCATTCACAGCCTGAAAAGGTTGTGCTAAATCCTTCACCATCAAGCTGTCCTATAGAAATCAAATTTCTTTTGAGGCCAGGAATATGTCTCACTCCTTTCAGCTAGATGAACCTTCCCAAAATCACCACTGACATAATTTTCCATGATTTCTCGGCATGGGGTGGAGTGGAAAGATGCCCCTGAATCCAAGATCCATGATTCAATCGGACTGTTGACGCTTAGAATCATGGCATCACCTGTCTCCTTTGTCACGTTGGCAGATTCCTGTGCGCCGGTATTTTTCTTCAGTGCTCGGCAATCTCTTTTAAAGTGACCCTTCTTGCCACAATTATAACAGGTAAAATCTTTCTTTCCCGTTGTGGATTTTCCCCGTCTGGATTTCGATCTGCCATGATTTGAATTTCTTTATGAAGTTCTCCCTCTGGACTCCGTGTGCAAGGCTGAGGAGGTTGATGCTTCACCCGATTCTCTCCGTCGAATTTCTTCGCTCAGTACCAGATCCCGAACATCTTCGAATTTCAATTTACTATTTCCTGACGAGCTGCTACCTGCTGTAACAGTAGCATTCCAACTGTCTGGTAGAGATAATAAGAGAATTAAAGCTCGAACTTCATCATCGAATTCAATTTCCACTGAACTCAACTGAGTTGTGATTGTGTTTAGTTCATTTAGGTGTTGTGCCATCGATGCCCCTTCCGTCATCCGCAAATTGAATAATCGTCTCATCAAGTGCACTTTGTTTGAGGCTGATGACTTCTCATACATACTGGAGAGAGCCGCCATAAGACATGCCGTGGTCTTTTCCTTTGCTATGTTGAAAGCAACATTGCGGGATAACGTCAGTCGGATAACTCCGAGGGCTTGTCTGTCGAGAAGAGTCCAGTCTTCATTCTTCATGCCCTCTGGTTGCTTTCCTGAGAGAGGTTGATATAGATTTTTCTGGTACAGAAAATCTTCAATCTGCATCTTCCAAAAACCAAAGTCCGCACCATCGAACTTTTCAATTTTCACCTTCCCTTCATCTGCAGCCATCGCTCCCACTCGAATCTGGTTTCGTTTGGATCGTTTCTGACAATTCTTACGAACCACCGTGTATTAGAACACCTCCGTCGACAAATTCGTATCGCCGACAAAATTTTACTATTCACGAGATTTACTATTCACATGAATAGTAACCTCGCAAAAATTGACAAAATTCACAATCAAAAGCTCTGATACCAGTTGTTGAGAAATAAACCAAATACAAGTAATTTTCCTATAACCAGATTAGTGAGAATGCAAAAGAAAAGCGGAAAAATAATACCTGAAATTGATAACGGAGTTCAGCCAATTGTGCTTACGTCTCCGGACTGCTGCAGATCTTTTACTAAGAGAGAAAATTTACAGGTGTTTACAAAACACTCACTACTCACAAGAAAACTCTGGGATCGTCAATCAACTCACCCCTACCGAAAACACGAGACGACGGGGCAAAGAATGCGGTGCGGAACTGAAAGACGATGTGAATTATATAAATGGCGTCGACGAATGTACGGAGGACACTAGCAATGATCCCCAGTATTCTGTCCAAGTCAAGGCACTTCTTGTAGTCATCAACCACAGAGATGTAGAAAAACAAAGGATCAACAGCCAGAGCAACGGCACAAGATAGAAGGAACATTTTGTTCCATGTCTGAAGAAACTCTCCTTGTGGATTAAGAATCCTCTTCCTGGTACCCAATGCCTTGTCTTCTCTTAGTCGTTTTTTGCCCAAAGAACCAAAGATTACTGGTTTTTTGAAGCTTCTAATCCTTTCAGAACAATTCTCGAAAGCCATCCGGGCACGATCCATAACAGCACCAAATAATGGCGCCTAAGTTTCATTGTAAATGATCCATCATCTGAACTCCAATCGTTGAAGCTGATTGATCAAATGAAATATCATAAAAAAACCCAAAGTCAAAACACTATTAGACTGATTCTAAATCAAATAAACTGGCCAACAATGAAACCAAAATATTACCAACCAAGCAATCCACTGTTATTTACATGGTTTCCCAGGCAGGCTTTAGAATAGTTGACTAGTATTAATGGTACTATACACTTAGAACACGCAAATAATTCTAAAGTTGAACCGATCAATGAAAATGAAACAACAAAAGCATACAACTGTATATGCATTGATAAATTCTACAAGCATAAACACTGACCTTACAAATTTGTCACGCCGGAAAGTCATGATTTCAGCCAATTTCTGGGGTAGTTTCATTTCATATGCAACCAAGTTCAACTTCGAGAGTCATCCAACTCTTGTATAAAATCAATACCCTGAAATGAAAACTAAAACCATAACTTAGAAGATATATAAAAACCAGTAAATCAACATGTCTTATAGAGAGAGAAAAAAAAGAAAGTTTCCGTGCAATATTGAGTAGGGATTGGTTTATTCAGGATATCATTGGAGGGAAAAAAAAGGATTTCTTTTGATGAATTAATGAGACAGCTAGCACTGAAGACATTAAGAGAGAAACCAGAACTGTGGTTGAGACGTTGCTTTCTTATCATAAAGAAGAAAAATTATATGCATATGGAAGACTCACCTTGATAACAAGAGTCAAGACTAAGAATGATTTAACTTTTGATTTCGTTTATTAAGACGGGTTTGCATTGATTCTGTAGATTTTCAGACCAAACGAAAGAGAAACAAAGGGGAAGACAGTTTGTTTAAGGTCTCATAAAGGCATAAAAACAAAGGAAGCCGGAAAAACAATAGAAAAATGGAGGAGAAATTTCGTTTGAAAGGAGGGTGGGGGGTTGGGGCAGCCCTTTTACAACATGGATAGAATTTATAGTGGCAGTTATATATATATATATATATGGAAAAAAGAGAAGACCAAAAAGGAAGACGAAGTCCACGGGGGACGACGGCAGAGAATAGTCAACCCCAAGGGCCAAAGTCTCTAAAGTTTTCGGAGGGAAGCTAGCTTTGGGGGCCAATTTCTCAGATGATAGACTTTAGGTTAACTACATTGATAGTTATTAAACTTATCTAAATTATTGATTGACTGTAATTCGCGATAAAATTAACAGTTAATTATGTGTTTAGTATCTAAATTATCAGTTTTTGTTATTTTAGTATCTAAATTTTTAATTTTTTAAAATCATACCTAAAGTTTAATTTTTATTTTATTTTAATACCATGTTCAAAATTTAACAATAAGTTTTGAAAAAAAAATTAAAAGTTTAGATACTAAAACGGATCAAACTAACATATTAGGTACTAAATGTGTAGTTTACCCTAAAATTAATACAAAAATATTTATAAATCCATCAAAAACTTGGATTATCTAATACTGCCCATCAATATTTGTTCTAGTTTTAATTACCAAATGAAAAATAAATAATCCATTACCAAATATGGATACACATGTATATATTTCATATTCTATTTAGTCCACCTGCAAGTTTTATAATTGCATTAGTACTTTTGACAATAAAATAAATAATTCAGTGGTACAATCAATTAAATATAAGAGTACATTGGGTTGGAAAATATATTAATCTAAATTTCTTTTCATTTATTTTTTAATTCTATTTTTTTCCTTTCAACTATTCTTATGTCAGGTTCATTTTAAATGACAACGTAAAGTCAACATATATAAAACACGGTAAAAGTTGATTTTGGTGATGGAAAATTTCCACTAATTGCAATTATCATGTATGAATATGTTCAACAAATTAAACTCTACGCCGGTTTATATTTCTTAAACGTCAACTTTGTCTAAATATATTTTAATTATTTACTTAATTTTATATTATAATAATTAAGTATAGTTATAATTATTTTTTTATCAATAATTATAATTATTTTAATTATATTATTGTGATTATTGTTATAATAATTATAACTTTTAATTTCTCATCAATCAAGTAGAAGATTATATAAGACATAGCTTGCACATCTTTTTCCACACGGAAGCTTATAAAATAACTATGTCAATGTAGTTTAATTGCATCATATGTTCCTAAACTACATCATTTATTTTAAGGTGATCCTTAAGTTTTGAATATTCTAATTTAATCTCCAATCTATGTCTCTCATTTTAAATTAGTCTTTAAACTTTTAAACATTCTAATTTCATCCCTAAACTATTGCCCTATTTCTAAATTAATCCCTAAACTTTTGAATATTCCAATTTTATCCTCAATTCATCCAAATATGTAATTAGTTTCAACCACAGTCTAACCTAAACTTTGTTTTTTCAAACATATAATAATATAACTTGGCTAACAACTTTATTAACAAGGGATGTGATTAGTATGTAAGTATAGTTCGGGTTGAAGTTGGATTGTTCAAAAAGTTTGGGGAAAAATTTAGAATGAACGTTATAGTTTAGGGATGAAATTGAAATGTTCAAAAGTTTACAGACGAATTTAGAATGATAGTCATAATTTAGGGATGAAATTAGAATATTTAAAAGTTTAAGATTAATTTAAAATGCGGGTCATACTTTGAGGATATATGATGCAATTAACTCTTATTATCTTTAATATTATTAATGAAATATGGTTTAGTGTGGAATTGAAAAGTCATTTCTGCCTAGTAAATAGCCGGGGATGACTAATTCAATTTTCTTCTCTTTAAGTCCTTTGATATGATCCGTACCAAACGACAACGTTCTGGAAATGAAATAGATAGAAAATTATGAGTTGCCGTAAAGTTTATTCTATGGTGCCATAAATCAAAATAAGACGGTTATATTACAATGGTACGTTCGTATTGATCTACAAAGGAAGAACATTCCACAAACACATCTTAGTTTTTGTTTCTGAAAATTAGTAAATTCTAATCAACTTTTTTTTTTTCACCATGGAAAATGTTATCGGTACACTGGTGACTTTCAACAAGAAAGTTCACCAAAAGAGGGCTAATAGACTGAAAAAAAATTTAAGATAAAAAACGAAAAACCCTATAATGCTGTTTATAAAATGATACAGAATTCAGTTTTAAGCCTAAGGAGCACCTGTTTCAGTTATACAATGTATAGAACCCTAAACTCATTTCGCCTTCGAGTCCTGCCTTCTTTTTCCAGTTTTCAGTACCTTAAAAAACAGAGCACCTCCGAAAACGATTTCTATCGTTTGTAGTGTACATACAAGCACAAGGCAACAAGCATGTGTGACCAACCAATCATCTCGTGAGAAAACCAATTCAGAATCAGAAATGTACTTCTTGCTTTCGTGAGAACATAAATGCCTGGTGAAGGGACGGTCTTGCAGTATAGGCTCTCCAACCCTCATTTCTTCCTTCAAACGGAAGGGGAAGGGGGTGACCATTTCACTTCTCTCAATTGTTAATTCTTCAGGGCTGCTCATCTGGAAATAAAATCAAAGTCGCCTTTCAAGATTAATAAATAAGAGCACCATAGCACAATCCAACCGACAGCCAGAAAGAGAAAAAAAATCAGAATAGTTAAGGCAGCATAAACTTCAAAGGGATGATTACGATCCAATCTTATATTCAATTCGGTTGCCACATAAGATATATAACCACTAGTCATGGACTCGAGGGACAATCCACTGGAAATACCAGAACACCATCCTGGAAGAGTGTGGCAACTGTGGTCTATGTCATGGTAGAAGGACGTTGGGAGCAGGCAGCAATTTCCAAACAAGCTCATTCAGGTATTGCCAATGGAAATTACTACACCATCTACCCAGTCGCTAGACCAGCAAAGGCAGTTGGACAACAATATAGATGCATGGTAGTTTTCAAGGTGACAGATTTTCCGTGAAGTCTTCAAAAGAAGCTACCTAAGACAAACAAGGAGATAAACTACCTTTGAAAGTGGGGTGAAGAAGGCTGGTCCTGTGAAGACCATTGAGCAGAGGTACCATAAAACCTTTGCTCATTGAATACCCCAACTGAGCTGTTTCCATCACTTAGCTGTGATACTTCATTCATGCCTGAGAAGCCCACTGGTCCAAGAGATTCAAACTCAGGCTGTTCAGCGGGAGAGCCATAGTCAGAGTTATAATCATACGGGTAGAGCATGACAACAGGTGGCATTGTAGGTCCATTAGATGATACCCCACCAGGGTTCATGGCTGGCAGTGGGTACATGCCATATGGCATGCTAGCTGAATTACTTTGAGAAGAGTTTGAACGGATGGGTCCATTACGAGACTGGTATGACGTAAATGAATCATGCCTACGTGAACCCCAAGGCCTCTCAGCTCTGCTCTCACCAGCAACGACAGCGAATTGGTCAAATGTGAACCTTGATTTTTCATTTTGATTACGGCTATGACTCCGTCCAGCAGGTCGGGGCTTTGAATTTGCATTCCAGTTTCCATCTCTATCACTGTGGTGGTCATTTCTATCAAAATTATATTTTCCCCTCCTCACATTTGCAGAATGGCGTTCTCTCATTGGAGCTTTCTGAAGTGGGGAAAAAAATCATATAAAAACGTTATCGAAGGCTACAGTTTCTCAAGGTAAAATGTCACAGAAACGGAAACTAAGCAACATAAGACCACTTCAAAAAACTTTTTTTTTTTATAGGAACCACTTCAAAAAACTGAAGCAATAGAGTGATGTAGTTGTATCTTATGACCTATTTAACATTGAAACTCAACACTGCATACCCAATTAAAGGAGAAAGTGGGGAAAGCGAACCATTTAATCATCATTACTCTTCAAAGCATGCAAAGTTCAAGTGCAGAAATTTAAGGTAATAAAGGCAAGTTACAAATTGATTATGCGACTTACAGGGTTTGGCAGATATGTCCCAGTACCACTGCGATGTCTAGGCATTTCATCAACATACCATTGATATACATTGGCAGGTCTATTTGAAATGGATTGGAGAGGTGTAACAGGAACAACACGAGGTCCATAATTAATATATTGGGGGAAGGGATTCACATTTGATGAAGGTCTCCCAGGACCATTCAATGGGAAATGACCTTGTAAATAGACAGGTGGCACCACAACAGGTGAAGGATAAATCATTGGAGGGTATCGCGGATTTTGGCAAAACCGTCCGTACTGCAGGTTTTGCCAATGGCTAGCAATGTCACCATTAAGAATGTCATTATGCTCCAATGGATCAAGAGACGAAACCTTTCTAGTAGAACTAGACGTATTTAATGCATCAGACTGATCAGGCCCCTCAGATGATTCAAAATTTTGTCCTGAATCATTGTTATCCAAAGCTTCATCCCAACTAAAATGGCTTGTTGATGCAACTGAAGTTCCTGCTTCAGTTGGAATGTTGTACACAGGGCAAAACAAAAATGGAACTGGTGGCCCTGTTATTGTGAAGGCCAGGGGAGGAACTCCGGAATTATCCATATTTCTTTGCCCTGCACCTGGACCTAGAAGGAATGGAGCAATGGGTATCATCGAATCTGAGCCACTTCCTTGACTTGCCTCAAATCCAGGCATTCGATGACTTGGAACAGGAAAAGAACCTATTGATTGAGGTCCAGTAGTTCTTTCTGCCATTTCAGTGCCCACCACTGATGGTGGATTCCAGTCTCTGCCATCATCATCTGCCTGAGAGGAATGCTCAGATACACTCTTACCTTTCCCACCTGCAGTGGACAGAATCACAGAAGCAGCTGTTTTCTTACCCTGTTTCTCCCTAGCTGGTTTAGAGACCTTTGCTGATGAACCTTCCCAAAAACTTTCAGATGAGGTTTTACTTCTAAGTGAACTAGTATACGAAGCAGACAATGATCTTGAATTTGCAGTTCTTTCATCAAAGCAAGCATCATTACTTCTGGTATCATGATGTTGGGAAACATCTACATGATCTTCCCTAGTTGATCCTAGAGTTTCTTTAGAAGACTTCTGTTGGACTTCAGAACTACCTGAGCCGCCTACTCTAAATTGAGTAACAAAACTATAGCCAGCTGAAGTTGCCAATTGTTTATCATTTGAATGAAGCACTTCAAAAACCCCATTATCAAGATCAAAACCACCACTAGAGCCCCTGTCATGTTCATGCAATAACTCATTTTCCGTTTCCCCTAGGTTTATTTCAGGAGAACCAAAATTTTCACTGGAAGGCTCAATTTGATCCTCTGGGTTTAAGGCTAATCCAATGCCTGGAAAATAATGGGCCAAAGGAGAAGAGACCGATCCTTGGGGAAACATTTGAAAATTTGTAGGAAGAATTCCACTCAAATTTCTCTGATTGTATCCCATTAATAGAGATTGGATGTGAAAAGGCAAGTGACCTGCAGCTAAATTTAATGGAATAGGAACCTGACCATTAAAGCCATGAGCTGTAGATGCCATCAAATTCACTAGATCTTGCTCTTCTTGTGGCATAACTTGTGCACCAGGAACTGAAGAAAAATCCTGACCCATAGTTCCCAAGCCAAAATCATTTTGGTAACTATTTATAGGACCATTTGGATCGCCAACAGCATCAATGGTCGGGCGTGTTGAGGTATGCCTAATAGATGAAGGATCATCACCTGAAGATTTAATGTTATGACTTGTCTTCATATCGGATTCAATATTCTTTATTCCATTATTATCTGAACTCATGGAAGCAATCTGGGTTTTCCCACCCTCAGGCACTCTGTTCCGCCTTCCCTGTGAAGAAACTCCCCCATATGTTTCAGTAAGCTCAGGACTAGAACGAGTCCTTGCAAAAAGATATCTTCCTTGAACATCAGTCACCAAGTTCTCCTTAGCATCAGAACTCTGACCTTTATCATTGTGTGCATTCTTATTGGAATTAGAATTCCGTCTAACCTTATCAGAGGTCTTTGTGTTGCTAATGCTACCGTAACTCTTTTGGCTTCGAGTATGAGAAACAGTAGATACATCACTAATCTTACTTGTGCTATCTGATGGATAATTAACATGATGTGAGGAAACACCGCGTGATCCTTGAACTCCTTCAGCTTGAGTGTCATGCCCAGAGGAAATATCATTGCCTCTGCTGCTTGAAGTGCTCCTGACATTGTTGAGTCCATGAGTGTCAGCCAAATTTGACAACCTCAAGCGCCACAGATCATTCCTGGGTGCATCAGGGCGTTGGCCACTTCCATGCCTTTCCCATGTATTCATGAAAAATTGATTTACTTCATAATAGAGGTCTTCTTTGGGACAATTAAGTATCCTTGTCAACTTGTTAGCTCCAAATGCAAATGCGCTGCGTATCCTAAAGAAATTACCTGGAAAATAACATCAATAAAACCTATTATTAGCAGTGACTACAGGCAACCAGAAAATTTGACAACTCAAATATTGCAAAAGCATAACAACTGTTGAAGTTATTTACATAGTTGAACATGTAGAAATATGATAGTACACATCCATCTATGATTCATGAGTGCTAAATCATACAAGTTTCCAGTAAATGCAAAAACTGGGCAAGAGTTGACAAAATAAAGATTTTAGATGTGTACTATCACCATTCTGCCTGCCAATACCAATCTCTTCAACTTAACTTCTTAATCAGGAGTTCTTAGCATGTAGCTCTCAGTCAGATAAGTTTCCAGCAAGTGACCAAACTATGCAGAACTAAGATTCTAATTGTTTACAATCACCTCTCTTCCCAACAATAACAGTCTATTCACATTTTTTTCTAACAATTTATTTTAAGGATTTTCAAAATCCTATAGAATGAGAATCTATTAGAAGTTTATTACAATCTATCTTCAAAAGGATTTTCCATGGGTCCATAAAAGAACATGACAGGGGGAAATGATATTTAATAGATCAAATAGTTATGCCAAGAATAGAAACTTATGGCCAGCAAAAACATGCAGCCAAAGTACCAGACGCGTGGGATTGCTAAACAAAAGAGAAAAAAAAGTCACAAAAATGTGCATAAACATCCAAAAGAACAACAGATAAACACTCGATGGTTATAGATGCAACTACCTTTACTGACGCTACGCCCAAGGTTGTTATTTATACGCAAAGGATCAATCACATTGAAATGTTTAGAAACAAAGGGCTGGCCCTGATTTTCTTGGCAAACAGCATATCTTGAACTACAAGTATCAAGAAAATACTTGCTAAGTAACAACTCTCCACCATCTTTCCGAGGAGGTTCAGCTGCAAAAAGCATTTCAAACAATGAAATTAAGACTATGAAACTGGAAAACATTCTGTTAGTAAAAGCTTCTTATTTAAAGCTTAGCATTAGATGTTCCAGAAATTGTAATACCAGTTATGTCTGGCAGAGTACTAATCGGAACAGGACCCCAGAGGCTGACGCAAAAGTTTTCCCAATCAAACTTGCTAAAGAACTCAAGAAATCGATACATGACCTACGCATGAAAAGGGGAAAACTCAGACAGATATGTCAGGCAAAAGCAAAGCCATACAAATAGAAAGGTAAACATAGCAACCTCAAGTGGTCCAGAAAAGGGCTTATTGAAAACATGGAATATGTAAAGAACCAAGGTTTCCAGGGCATAAGTTGAGATAAGTCCATGATGAGCACCCAATATGCGGCTCTCATAATAACACCAGGCCTTTATCAAAATGATGCTACGTTTGAACAAATGGTTCTGGTTTATCAAGCGATCAACCTACACACACAGATGTTAAGTTAGGTTTAAACGGGCACAAAATCCAAAAGTCTTATCATTCAAAAAATATATCCGCAGAATTGAATTGTAGTGCCAGGCTTAGCATCACTAACCTCTTCAAGGAAACAAAGAGTACATAATCCACCAAGTTGATTAAATGAAATGTCTACCACAATACTTTCTACAAGACACTTAATTATCTTCACCTGAAAATGCATAAAAAGGGAAAGAACATATCAAAAGGAATTAGCTGATTAAGATAAGAACAGTGAACAAATGTGTGGAAGAAATTAACAACTAGCTTCATGCAAGAATTCCATGTATAAAAGACAGAATCCAAGGTTCCATGGAAATATGAAGCAAATGCATTTCATTCCGACTTACCTCAGCCTGAACGTACTGAACTTCTTTAACTCGGAATTCAGCATTTTCATTTTTTTCTTCATTTTCCAGCATATTCCGAACCTGGTGAGCCCATGTATCCTTCAAACTTTGATCCTTACTGAAGGCCGTCAAGTCAATATCCCCATCAGGCAAATATGTCTTGAGGGGCACAGACCCAAAAGTAAACACCTGTCAACAAAAAGCAAGCAACCATTCATCAATATAACATAAGTTACATTCATCCCACCACTCATGGACCAGAACATGAAATCTAAAGATTGTAAATTTTTAATCTTTCATGTGATACCATTTATCCATGCCTTAACATTTGTAATAAAATACACGGAAACAAAATGTACAAAAAGACAACTCACAATATATAATCCAATATAATGGCATCTAACAAGATAGAAATCATAATGAGATATTCATTGGATTGGACCTGACAAGGGAAGCACTTAGAAATGAGGCGCTGGACATAATCAGCTACAGCAATACGTCGACCTTCCGAGGGTGTATTGGGCTGAATGCAGGCAATGAGTTCAGCTGTTCTTTCCTCGGCCTTCATCCATCGCTCCGAGTCAAGTACCCGAACCGCCGAGGCGGCTTCATTCGGTAACAATCCGTTCGGCAATAGCCCGCTAAGTGGCTGCTGTGCCGCCCACCCTTCATGCTCTCCCATGCAATCCTAAAGCACTTTTCCTCCCTAGCAACTTTCTAAACCCTCCCGACTGCCACAACGCAACCAAAAACTTCAAATTCTAAAAAGAAAAACGAATCGTTTTTCAATATGGGCAGTTTCCTAGTGAATCTATGGTTTAAGAAAAAGGGGGAACTGAAAAATAGGAAATGAGAGGGGGAACGAAACCCTATAAAGTAATGAAATGGGGAACAATATGGGCGGTGAGAAAATAAAAAACCCTAACTAGAAATTGCAACAATCCTGGAAATTGGGAAGTAACGGCAAACCAAAATGAAAGAGGCGAACATTAATGAAGAAATAGCAATTGCAAGAAAAAAAACGAAAAGAAGCGTGCCGGGGATCCAATATTACTAATTCTTTAGGTTTTGTTGTAAAGTGTCGTAGAAAATAAAAGAAAGGAGGAAGGAAAGAGGAGGGTGCTTTTGGTTACAATAATAAGAGGCTGTGGAGGCGTGATATAGTATTCGCTCGACGTCGAGGAAGTTCGTGCATTTGAGGGTTTTCACTTTGATTTTTTTTTTCCCTTTTACTTTTAAATGGAAATCGAGGCAGAAATGAAGAACAAAGAAAATACATGGAAAACTAAAGGAACAATTTAATTATTTTGTATTTTTAAGATTTTATTAAAGGGTATTTGTAATAAACAAAAGTTTACAATATAATTTGAATATTAAATGCATCTTAAAATTTTAAAATCATCTAATGAAATTTTCAACATTAATATAATATTAATCAAATCATTTCATTACATTTAAACATTAATTTGAGTGTTAAATATTATTTTTTTTAAATGAGTAACTTGTTAAAATAAAATCACTTATAATGTCTAATGAATATATTTTAACTTAAATCTAAATCTACATTTAACGTTGAAAATGATCACTAAATTGATTGATACAATATTAATATCTATTCAATTCGTTATTTGGAAATGACCATCCAGCTCAGTTGGTAGAGCACAAGGTTCTTAACCTTGAGGTCGTGGGATCGAGTCCCACGGAGGGCATTTCATAATTCGGAGGTCTCTTACGGAAGCTGCTCTCAACCTGGTATTGGGGGTAGCCTACTATCTTACCTCCCCTTACCCCATACATATGAGAAAAAGGGACAACCATTCAATTCGTTATTTGATTAAAAGAGATTTCATTAGATTTCAATTACGTCGTGGATTACATCAACTATAATACATTTAGGCTCGTCATAATAAAAACCAAAATGAATTAAGATTCGACAAAGTCCATTGGATGAGAGAATGAGACACATGGTTGGCTTCACGGTTGATGTTAAACACCTTTACTTCATGGCTAGAGGCAAGAATCTCTCGGTCCTCGTTGAGTAATAATCTAATTGTGGAAACATCCTTATGACCATTGGCGAGCCTATTAACAATGAAGATTGCATCACCTTCAATGATCGTGTTGTTCCAACCGTTCTCGCTTGTGAATTTTAGCCCCTTAGTAAATGTCGCAACTTCAGCCGACTCTACAGTAAACGGGGGAGGAAGTTATCTGCGCATCCCTCCTACACGACCATCCCATTGTTGTCTCTTGCTACGATTCCTATAGCCGTTAGGTTTTTGGAGGGGCAAAAAGCCCCATCAACATTGATCTTAAATATAGATATCGGAGGTCAGGTCTAGGTCCGAGAGCAAAAATTGGTCAACGGGTAATGCATCCAATCATGATTAATTTCAAAAAGCTCCGTACATAGGTTTCATGTCGCAATAACCACATCTCTATCCTCTTGTAAGTCTCTATCATGTAGAAACTTGTTCCTTATGTTCCAAATGCTCCACAACAACATGATTAGTCTTGTCATCCCAAAGAGATCCAGATGGGAGGCAGACCATTCCAGCCACTCTTTATAGGAAACTCCTTGCCACTCGATGATAGAGGGTTTGAGGCCTGAGATATGGAGGATGACTCTTGTTTTTGGACAATCCTTTAGGGCGTGCAGCGAGGTTTCCACCACGTCCCCGTATAAAGGGAAAGCTCTCTCGGAAAGGCGAGCGTTCTTAAGTTTTTCACCTGTCAAAATGGTGCCATGATAGATCCTTCACCCCAAAATCTTGATTTTTTGCAAAATTAAAAGCTTGGTGGAAGTCTTCCAAATCTTCTTATTGTCCTTAGAGAGCCCTTTCCGAAGAATGAGCCAATTGTAACCAGATTCAACCGAGAAATAACCAGAGATCTGGTGACTCCATATCAATTTGTCAACATACAAATAAGCTATGAGAGTCCCCAACACCTTATTTGCATCTTCAGTAGACATAACCCTCTTAATTATTTCTTCATCCCACCTAGGCACCCCTAGAAGCATGAATTCTGAGCATTTGACTGGATTGTCCTCGTTATTAAAGTAAGGACTCGACCAGTAAATAGGGGAGGAATTTTCCCAAGGGTTGCAAAACATTTTTGTTTGTCCCTCGTGTCTTACCCTCCGAAAGAAGCCTTCTTTCATGGCATCATTGGCTTTAAAAATGCTCGCCCAAGCATGAGACGCCTGGTCCCCCAGCTTGGCTTCAAGAAATTCTTGATTATGGAAGTACTTAGCTTTCAGCTCTCTAGCCGCTAAATATTTTGGATCTTGTATGATCCTTCAGACTTGAGTACCGATAAGGGCTATGTTGAACTTGAGATCTCTGAAGCCCAATCCACATTCTCTCTTGGTTCTACAAATACTATCCAGTAGATCGTTGCCCAACCTCTTTTATCCTGCTTTCCTGACCAAAAAAAGGAACAGATCTGAGGGGTGATATTCTCAATGACACCTTATGGAAGGAAATATCAGCACATGGCATTGGTGGGGATAGCTTGAGCAACTGACTTGCAAAAAAAACCTCACGTCCTCCGAAAGATAGGAGGAGGTTCTTGGTCTAGCCTTAGATTTATTTAGCTTTTTTATTCTTGATGAAGCTAAAGGTGTAACAACCAAAATTTTAGTTAGTGACCAAAATATAAACTTGGAAAGTTTAGTGGCCAAAAAATAAATTTGAGAAGTTCAAGGACCAAAGTGGTAATTTTCCAAAAAAAAAGTTTATTCCATACATGAATAGTTCACTCCCAAGAATGACGTTTTTGTGAGAATCAGATTTTTGATTCAGAATTTGTGTTAAAAGTTATAAAGTGTTAAAGTCCGGTAAAAATTAGGATAACCGGATCGAATCAGAATTTTGAGAAATTTTAAAGGGTGATAAATAAGCTTAGAAATATTATTTCCACATTTTAAAATGATGGAAAATAATATATATAATTGGATTTGATAATTTATTTCCATGTTCATTTTGGATCGTTGGATGAAAAATGGCAAGATTGAAATTTTTGGAAAATTGCATGGGTAAAGTTGTAAAGGGAAAAATAATTTGTTCATATTTGACTTTGGAAGATGACAATTATTATGTATCAAGGTATGGATGTAATTATCAAGTTTCTTTAAGGGTGAAATTGTTACTTCTCAATTAAATAAATTTTAAATTCATTTAAGCTTAATAAATGACAAATTAACATGAAATTAACTAGAAATTTCATGACAGTTTGGAGAGTTTTGTGGGATTAAAAATAATTATGCAAATGTGAATGTACTAGATTGATTATATTATTTCAAGGCTGGAAATTTTAGTATTGAATTTGAATTGAGTAAATGGTAAAAGAACATTTTGAATGAAATGGAAAAGTTTATTTAAATTCTAAAAGAATTCATAATTTGTGGTTAAAATGTAGAGTTAAAAATGTATGTGGAATTTGGTTAAAAAGGGACTTGAATGGTCAATTTGAAGTGTTAAGGTCAACATTTAAGTTGTGGCATGAAATTAGTATCGAATAAGCATAGAAAGATTTTTAGGAATTTATTTTCTAATGTGTGTCTATGTTAGTAAGATCCTAGTATATGGTTAAATTTATATGTTTTGTAAACGATTTCCATTTTGATTATGATTGAAATCAAGATCAATCAATATTAAAGCTAAGGAGAATCTTAAAGATGAAACGTGAAATTCTAAGGAAGGTTTGCAAGCTAAGGACACCAGGTGAGTGCATATTTAATTTGTACTTATGTTATCAAACAAATTTTAGCTTGCGATGAGCTAGTGACGGAGTTAATATGGTAAGAAGTGACTCTTAAATGTTATTTGATTTGTGATTCATGAATATATGTTCATTTGGTAAGCTAATGGAACCATGGAATAAGCTAAGGAGTAAGGATGCTAACTAGGGAAAGCTGCCTAGAAATTAAAATTTGAACAGTATGTTTAGAAAATCACCATAAATTATACATAAGTGATTAGAGGATGTTATCTATACCGTTTGATTCGTATATCAATCTAGTTTCGTTTAAAATAAATGGATACTGGTTTTTAGGAGTATAAAAAAATATATGAATTTTTAATCAAGGATAGTTTAGAAAGCATGGCAGAAGTTTCTGCTCAAAAACATTTTTTGTAAGTCAACTTTGAAAATTCACTATAAATTGTACAAGTTGAACCAGAAGAATGGCCTTATATGGTTAGATCCGTATTCGAGTCTAGTTTCCAATGGTATAAACATAATAATTTTTAAGTGTGTATATTAATACAAAATAATATATGTTTAAAGGTAGTGCAAACTACCAGAATAAGAAATTTTGATAAATTTCATTATATAAGCGAATCAAAAGCAAATGATCAAGCTTAAAGCTTAGTGAGACTTATATTTTGATTTGTATATAAAGTGTCATTGTGAGTTCAAGGCATGCATGACATTATGCATGGATGTTTTATACATCATTAGGAAGACTTACGATGAGTCTACCTTGTTTATATTGGCATGATATTTATGTCATTTATCATATATTTGATATGTTTTAAATATGTAAAAAGTTAAATATAAAAAGCAATGATCCCTAAGCTTATATGATGTATTTCCATAGATGTTATTTCGGGTATGAAATGCCCAAATGCTAAATTATATTGATATACATTGTCATGGATGTAATAAAATAAACTATATGGTCAAGTAAGTCATTAAGGGATAGTGGTATAGTTGGCATGCCATAGAGTCCAACAACAAGTTGCATATCCAGTTTAGCATTAGAGTGTACATAAAAGAAACTTAGTGCAGGTGGTGGTAACGACCTTATGTGTCATATTCGGTTTAGCACTAGAGTGTATATAAAAGACACTTAGTGTGTATGGCGGGCACGACCTTATGCATATTCGCACTATGGTGCATATATTTAACTCATATACCTAGGATCCTCATAGGTTTATATTTTGGGCTATGTTGTATTGGTAATAAACTTTTATATATGTAATATCATGTTTATTATGGCAACATGATGGATATACAAGTAATGTGATCATATTGCATTGAATAATCAGATTTAATTACATACATGTGATGTATTTCACTATTTATTGTTCTAATTGCCTCACTAAGTGTATACTTAGCGTTTGATGATTTTCACCTGTAGTAAAAGAAAGTGAGAGGAGTAAGGAGCTAAGCTTGGTATCAATCACCAAGGAATACTTACGGGTAACAATAATGGCATCCTATTATGTTCTAAATTTTCTAG